GCAAACTTGAGAGTGAGTAGAAAACCTTAAAGTGTCTTGGTCATTTCCACTGGGGTTGTCTGGTTCTGAGTCGCTGCCAGTGTCCTTCTTTTTTGTAGGTAAAGGTAGTTTTGTCTGCTCATAAAGTTCTCCAACTATAACATGTTCATCAAGTAAATGTTCCTGGAAATCTGTCATGTCAACCTCAAAATCTGTAATTCTTCCATGTGAATTTCTTTGAGACGGGAAAACAAACCCACTGCCTTTTCAATGAAGTCATTTTTTCTACAGACCTTTGACACATCAATTTTTCTTGATCCACCACCTTTCTTTGTCCGAACTTGAAAAAGCTTCCCATCTCGAGAATTCATCCATCCTATCTCAACTTTTCGAACTGTTTTTTTTTTTAGCATTTCTGATGCTAACATTTTCTGAGATCTGCTTTTGATCGTTGCCTTTGTTCCTTGAAATCTTGGCTCTCAATCGGTCAAAAAGTTTTGATTTCCGGCCAGCAGGATCATTTTCCCTTCGTCTGCAACATCCGAGAAGTGCCAGTCGGTCACCATAAGATGGGAGATACTCCTTAAGCTGCTCATCTGTCATGAGCAGAAGGACACTGGAGTCAATCTAGAAAACAAAAGTTAAAACAGTTGTTTGACCTATAAAAATGGGGGGGAAACCCAGTAAAAACAGCCACATGATAAAACTGATCTGTCTTCACCATGTCTCTATAATAGTGTTGTATAATAACTTCTAAATGTACTGATTTCCTGAGCAATCTAGCTACCTTATCCTTTTGCAGTCGTTGTCTGACTTCCTCTGAAACATCCTGTGACTTTAAGAAGTCATATCTCATCCATCCTGTGACAATTACACACAATAACTAATGAATTATGTCTAATAAAACATAACATTGCAAAAAATGTATTATGAACATGAGAATAGGGTTGAATGATATTACTGAAAAACATTTCACAATACAAGCATATTTTTATTTTTATTTTATATCAATTATTTTTTATAGATATCTGATATCTGGTGATGTGACCTTTCCCATTTTATCCACCGCTTTTACAACATAATGTTTTTTTATAAACATCTACGAGGCACAGTGGTGAAACATTAAAGTTACTCAACAGCTTGTTGCTAGTTCACCAGTGAGTTAAATGATGCCATCAACCTAGATGAGCCAGCCTGAAGAGGTTGAGAAGCCTTGACTGTGCCTACATCCTCCAGAATGGTATGTGGTTCTGGATCAGAGTTCAGAGAATATTCTATTGAATATTCTGTCAGACTTACTATTTATTGATATCGATCACGTGTGTATCGTGATACATATAACTGATTTATTGTCCAACTCTACAAGACAGATAGAAACTGTATTTCAGACTCAAGCTCCTGCTAAAATAAATACAATAAACAACAAAACAGCTGTACAGATCTGCAAAAATAAACCAATACATAAAGAAACTACATAAAAGTAATAAAGAAAAATCTACCAGTGTCTCCACAACTAAATGGTAAAGTGTAGAGCTTAGGTCTGAAAGTTCTGATTACATTTTTCCCCTAAAATATTTCAGTGGTTGAACAATTCTTAAAATGAAATTTCCATCTTTATAAAAGAGTCAAGTGCATGAACATCATCAGAATGATTTTAGTTTTGATCTCAATTACTTTCATTTAAACAGATAATATAATAAATTGGATTTTCACAAGAGTTGCAACTTACCTCTGTTTAGGTTTAGGTTCAGGTGAAAGGAACCTCCTCTGTCTCTTGTAGGTATCCTGAAAGTTGAGTAAAGTTGAGGAGTTAAAATTTTCAACAAGGCCTTCCTGTTTTGGGGGATTTTTTAAGTTTCTTGTTTTTCAATTTTTCTCATTTTGAATTGCTTTTGTAAATATTGTCAATGTAAAGCTGTAGATCTCCAGCATTAGCATAAGTGTACATGAAAATGCTACGAAAACAGTTTGAAAACTGATGCATATTGTACTTTCATATTTTACTCTTGTCTGTGTATCGACAAAAACAATTTAACGGGAAAGATAGTGAATCACATTATGCATATGTAACGGGTAATAGATACAGATGAAATTCTTGTTAAAATATGTTTTGTAATTACTATGTGATGAATGGTTTTTGGCGCCCCCTACTGGTTGCCTATAAATAGAAAGCTAAACCGTAAATTAGACGCAGTCTGTTCAGCGCTCTACTGTGTATGCGGAGAGCTGGTGAACCAGTAGTGGAGCTCACTGTGCTAATTTGTGTTGACCATTTATTACAGAAAATTCAACCAACTGGCCTCCTTTGTGTGTATGACGGGACGGGCATAAGGGGAAGCTGTTACACATAACAAAACGTACATACAACAAGCTGTGGAGCTTGTTTTAACCTACTAGCTATTGCTTGTATTAATGCCACAAAATAATTATACATATTAACTTATTGAATTTTTGGAGTACAAACTTCTTATCGCATTCTGACATAAAAACAATCTAATTAACGGACTACTTTAAAAAAAACTCTGTTAAATATGCTATAACAAGGTTAGCACGCTTTGACGGTTAACCTGCAGCTAGCTCATGTTGCTAAAACAACGAACTATGTACATAACACCACACGATCAAAAAGCATTCAAAACGAAGGAATCTAAACAAAATCAAAAAAGGTGAGCCTACCTTTTACTGACTCTTAAACGCAGTAGCAAAGGTTGGACCTTGGATTTAAGGTCATATTTAACTGGGAGTTGGAGCACGCTGTTATTCTAAGTAGAATTGTATCCAACTGCTCCGGTATCTCATAATTATGACTTTGAATCTCATAATTATGAATTTGAATCTCATAATTATGACTCTGAATCTCATAATTATGACTTTGAATCTCATAATTATGGCTTTGAATTTATGACTTTGAATCTCATAATTCTGACTTTGAATCTCATAATTATGAATTTGATTCTCATAATTATGACTGAATTTCATAATTATGACTTTGAAACTCATAATTATGACTTTGAATGTCATAATTCCTGTTGGTCTTTTTTTTCATGGCGGACATGGGCTTCCACATAAATTACTTTTTTTTTTACCCATATCTTTTTTTTGCTTCCTCCATTTTCAGCTGAATCCTGTTTTTTTTTTTTTTTATCTTCCTGCATAAAATTTTACAGTAAGCAGCTGGTTGTGTATTTCATTTAACTGACTGTAACATTAAAATCCAAATAGAGCTAAACTACATTGCATAGCCTCTATGAAAATGATTCGTACAAATGAGTGTTGGCATTAATTCTCATTCGTCTGCAGTTCACCGACTATCAGAGCTACGTTTTCAGAAATTATGACTATGACCACGATGGCTATATATCACAAGAAGACTTTGAGAGTATTGCAGCTAATTTCCCATTTCTGGACTCATTTTGTGTTTTGGATAAAGATCAGTGAGTGTGAAAAATAACTGACACATCTGTCTGCTGTCATAGCAAATCAATTTAACTAATTTATGAACCATTTGGTAGATTGTGGAAAACGTGTGGCGATTGGTCTATGCTTTACTTACAGTCTGCAGTAATGCTCAAGGAAGATGGAAGGTTTGCTTTTTAAAAATGAATTGATGATTGGGATTTCATCCCCTCAGTTTGCATTTCCTCATCACCAAACTCAAAGTAATGTTGATTTTGGGGGATTAAACAATTTGTCTGAGACATTCTTCTTTCAGGAAATGGCAAATTTGATGTGTGTTTGCAATCATTTACTAACTGGTAAACTCAGCTGGATTGAAGTTTTATTCATCAGACACAAAGTGACACTTCAACTAGAAACTAGACAGAATGAGAACAGCCCAGAAATCACAAAGGCGCAACCCAATGTACGCACTTTTTAAAAAAATCTTTTTATACTGTGGGAGGAAGCCGGAGTACCCGGAGAGAACCCACTCATGCTCATGGAGATCAAGAGGTCTTGGGTTTGAACCCAGGCCAGGATTCAAACCCAAGACCTCTGTTTCGCAAGTTTTTTCACTTTTCATGAAAATGAAAAGTGAAAAAACAAGATGCTACATCCTTAAAATCAGGCAGTCAAGATAGTCGACAACATGCCTTCTTACTTCTCTTCACTGCCTTCTTATCATCCCAAATTTCCACAGGTGGTGGGGGAGGTAGAGGTGAAAACCTCCTAATCTTCAAAGCTTCCCCAGCCGGGGAAGTTTGTTTTGGAAGAAAACTAAAAGAATCTTTTGGAGTCCAATCTTCTACGGCTCTTTTTGATGGAGGAGAAGCTTTCTGCTCTTTAGGCTTCTCTTTGTTTACATCTTCCACATCGATGTCTTTTACGTCCTCTTTTCTTGAAGATGTCGGCTCTTCCGTCTTTTCCTTGTTTAGTTCAGAGACTCCTAGCTGAGGAGTCTCTTCCACGCCGATGTCTTTTACGTCCTCCTTTGTTGAAGATGTCGGCTCTTCTGGCTTTTCTTTGTTTAGATCAGAGACTCCTGGCTGAGGAGTCTCTTCCACGCCGATGTCTTTTACGTCCTCCTTTGTTGAAGATGTCGGCTCTTCTGGCTTTTCTTTGTTTAGATCAGAGACTCCTGGCTGAGGAGTCTCTTCCACATCGATGTCTTTTACGTCCTCTTCGCAAACTTCTCCAGCCGGAGAAGTTTGCGTCACAGGTGGGGAAGGGCTAAAAAGATATTTATCAAAATCATCATCATATTCCCCAATCCACAGTTCAGTCAAAGGACTTTCAACTGGGCGATCCTTTCCAGCCGGAGTAGGAGTGAAGAGATAGGCGTTGAACTCATCAGGCCACTCTTCCTGGAAGGGAAGTATGTTTGCTAAGCTCTCTTCTCCAGCCGGAGAAGGATTGAAGAGGAAAGAATCAAAATCGTCCAGGTCCTCATCCCTGGGCGAAATCTCAAATTTGATGTGCGGCAGGAAATGATTTACTGTTTTCCTGATGGCTGTGGTGGCCAAATAACCAAGCCCGAAAGATACGGGGAAAAAAAATGTGGCTCCAATCGCATTCAGATCCAAAGACATGGCTAAACAGAATTGCAACTGAAAGCTGAGGTTTTGAGATGCAAGTTTTTATAGCCTCAGAGGTTCTTAGATCTATGACATAGAACTATGTCATAGATCTAAGTCATTGATGAGGTCATAGCTACAATGAGCTCACTGTAGTTCTGGACAATGTCTTGCTTCTGATCGTTGCTATAGCAACAGTCAGATCAGTTCTGCATGATTGAAACTATTAACCCTTTGCAACTGCTTGACTTCATCATTGGAGGCGCCATGACGGACGTCGGCAGTGAAGGATGGGAGAACTGAACAGAGTGACTTCAGTTATTTATCCAAGTTGTTTTTACCAGTTTCTTGGTGGCTTCTTCTTGTTGGAGTGGAGATAACTTGTCTGTGAACCTAACAAACCTGATTGGGGATCATAGACGGTGATATTTACAAAAGTTGGAAATTGCTAGCTTCCAAACCGACCCATACTTCCTCCATCCTGATGTGTTCATCAAATTATTGATTTGGCCTGAATTCACACCAATTTATTTATATCACTATGTCATAAATAGAGTTTCCCCTTACACTGGAGCAACATTAAAAACAATCAAAAAATCACCAGAGAGGAGCATTTGAAAGGTCATAAGGTTATTTTATGCAATTGCTTGGCTGCTAGATTGTGGGATGTGTTGCCTCTATTTTTATGCTGCTTAGATTGTATTGATTCCTGCATTTTCTTTCAGTGTGAAACAAAAATCATACAACTCTGCATTGATCTAAAGAAGCAAAAAGAAGCAAGCGGAAAAAAAGACTCCCTGTCCCCAAAACAATGAATATTTCTCAATTTAAAAGCCAAACACATTTGCATCACTGCCATAAACTTTGTCCATGACTAAAAGATTTCCAGCTGAGCTGATGCTCCTGTTTCCTCCTCCTCATCTTCCTCTGCATGTCTTCCTCAGAGACGGATTGATCAGCAAGGATGAGATGGTGGCGTATTTCCTCCGGGCCAACCCTCTGCTCCAGTGTAAGATGGGACCAGGATTCATTCACAACTTTCAGGAGATGACCTATCTGAAGCCAACCTTCTGTGAACATTGTGCTGGATTTGTATGTATTTCAACACAAGTAAATTATGTTTATTGATTCCAAACATGCTGAATGTGTTCAAACATAATGTCATCTTTTACTTTGGAATGACTAAATTACAGAAAACCGGGTTAAAAATGAACAGCTTGTAAAAATGTAAAAAAGGTGGAGCAGGTGATGACAGGTAGGTTCTCTTCTAAGTTCAGATTCTAGCTGTGTTTGTTCACACATGTTGCTTGAAGGGAAGTGTGAACCACCAGAAGGCAGAAGCAGGACCTCTGGCGTCCAGCAGGTGGCAGAGTGAATTACATGCACACAATAATCACTGCAGTTCTGCTCATCAGTGATTCTGTAAAAAGGGCAAAAACTGTGGAGATGAAAGCTGATCATCTTATTAACCGGGTCTGAGGATGGATGGATGGAATCTGTCACATTATGACAAAAGTTTGACATATTTGTGAGTTCTCTGGATCCTACATTAGAGAGTTTTTCATTTTCTCCATAAATGACCAAGAGAAATGTTAAAGTCAAATAAGAAATGTAGCTGCAGATTGGAATTTGGGAGCACTACACTTTGTGTAAGAAATTAGATGTTCTTCTGGGCCCCCTGGTGGCCTGTTGGTCCTAAGCAGCTTGCCAGTCCACTTGTGTTTTCTGACACCTGTTCTGGACTCCCAGAGGTTGGCATGAAGCCCAGTAGACTGCTGTGATTGTGTCTGTTTTCTCTCCATTATGTAACATTTCCATCTTTTTCTCCTTCCGTGTGTGCAGCTCTGGGGAATCATCAAGCAGGGATACAAGTGCAAAGGTGCGTCTGCTGCTTTATTCTAAGAGTGACTGTCATGGATATGAATTCACTTTTTTACATTTCCTCTCTTTTTGACACCAAATTTATTAGCAGTAGCTATAATTATTATTCTCTATATATTATTTTTTATTGATGCTGCTTGAATACTGCAGGGATGATTTGAGCCAGGAAATGTGTTTGCCTTGCAGACTGTGGTGTTAACTGTCATAAACAATGTCGGGAACTGCTGGTTCTGGCCTGCAGGAAGCTGATTGGCTCAGGCTCTGTAAGCAGCGGCTCTCCAGCCAGGCTGACCCACAGCTCTCTGCCCAACAGCCCAACGCTGCCCACCTGTAAAGGTTGTTTTCAGATACTGTTACTCATAAGCAATATTCTGGTGTTATCAAGATTGGACTGAATGTTGTCATGAGTTCACCTTTTCATAAGAGTAAATAAATGTAAGTCTGTAGTGGTGTAGTCCATTGTCCTTCATTTTGCCAGATCGGCCGATATTTACATATGAAGCCAATATTATCTACCGATCTGATCAATGAAGGTCTAAAAATCAGCCACTGTCCTCTTTTGCTCTGCCATGAGAGGTTTGACTGTCAGCCCCGCCCACCAGGTCACGTCTGCATGTAATCTATCAGAAAGTAATCTTTATTTATGTATATATAAATATTAATGCACTATAACATGAGTTCTCCTGGAGGCTGAGATCTGGGCTATATTTTTTGTTTTTCTGTGGTGATGGCAGTTTTTAGGTTGTTTTCAGGAAAATGCATTTTGACTTTTCACACTCAAAATTGACAGAAATAGACATTTTAGATGTAACGTAATATGATGTGGTAATATCTGAATTACCCTTTTTGAACTGAATTACTGAAATAATTCAAATATTGAGCTACACTTAATATTTTCTTCTATTGCTATTTTATAGTATTGCTATTGAAGCGTCAAACGTCCTTATTAACAGTTAGATCATTCTGAAAGCATGGCAAAGTATGTCATTGAACCAATGAGCGCCTTTGACTGTCTTGTGGCAGATAAGGGTGCAGACGAACTGTTTAGTGGAAAATATGGATGGCAGTAAGAGAAATAACGTTTTGTTCACCTTTGGTTTTCTTAAGGACAGCTGACTTGGCCACAACAATGAAGGCCGGGAGCACAGGACCTCCAGGACCACCAGGACCACAGGGAGCAGGAGGTTCTTCTCACTGGGGAAGACCTTGGGATGCTTCAAGTCCCCATTCAGTGACTTGAAGTTATCTCACCCTTTCTAGACCCCGGGTAGGCATGTGGCTGCTACCAGGAGAAGCTCAGTGGATCGTGAACGCCTGACGTGAATCAAATCTTGAGACTACGGAAAGCTCTGAAGGCTCCAGAAAAGACGACACACCTGAGGATTTACAAGTGAAATGGAAGCTAGAGAAGCGTGCTTCGGACACAACTCAGTGGATCAGTCTTTAATTAAAACTCAAAAGGTTTGAACAGAGAACACCCTAAATGAAAGGTCAAAGTTTCCTCTTGAAGAGGTTGATATCTCTGAGCACATATGTACATAACGTCTTTATAACGTGGTGCAAATAAAGGGAAATTATTACTCTTATCAATAGCAATGTTGTTCTGCGGATGGTTTTGAAGCTTGGTTCATTCCAGGACGACTCAGTTCACTCAGATTCGGAGTTAAGGTAACAAACAGTCCAGTCCTACTTCCTCTGGATCAATAAAAATCCAACTAGTTGTAAAGGGTTCAACGAAACTTGTGTTTTATTCTATCCAGGTAAAAACCAGTTTCTTTCAGGGGGTCTGGGCTCCCAGCTGCTGAAAACCTTTGTTTCCTGGAGGCGTGGGCCGGGTTGGAGTTTTCAAATGTTCCCAATCACTAACGTTTGTCCCTGACGTTCACCATGCAACGGTTCAGTGTTATGAAGCTTACCTGCATTGTAAACAACCGGCCTGCGCAACTTCCCTGGTGTAAAGACAGCATACTTTAGTATACTTAAGTATATTTTAAATATGCCATATTTTTCCTGAACTACAATTTTAGTGTGTTATCAAAGGGTATGCTGATTAAGATCATACTAAAAATGTCAAATAAATACATTTTTATAAACATGCTTTGAGTACTCTTTTTAAAAATGTATTTTTAAAAATACACAATAATTTTCTCAAATAGGTTATATGGATATTTTTACAAATACATTTCAATATTATTTGTAAGTACTTTGTAAATAGTGTCTAGTAATTAGGCTCTATTATGTAATATTTCAAACTCTAGGTGTCTTAATAATATTTTACTATTTTGTTAAAAGACAAAAACAAATGAACCTATCCTTTTAGTGGAACTTACTGTAACGTTTAACAAAGTAATAAATATTCTGTTCATGCCTCAAAACATGAAAAGATGACAGTTTAGTGATGGTTCTGCACCAAAAACATTGTTTGTCTTTAACACTGAATCTGGAAGGTATGTTCAGAGTTACATCTCTGAATATGATCTTTTTTCTCAGTTCTTGAACAAAAACACGGAAGCTGCCTTTACACAATCCATTTTCAGAGGTAAATCCTCCTGTTATTCTACTGTGAGCCGGCAGCAGATTTACTGATGATACTTTGTAAAAGGTAAACCTCAGTGGTGCTTTTCTCTTAAAAATGAACTATTGTTGCTTTTCTATTATACAAAGCCAGAAAATTCTTGGATTGGAAGCATTTTCTTCACATAGAAATTTAATTACAAAGATTACATGTGTCCAATTGACTTTTCTGTGAATTGGACACATGAGGCACCATGACAGGAAATGGCCCGAAGACAGAAGTGAAAGACATGCAGCAAGTGGTCCAACACTGGGAATCAATCCCAGTACCACCAGGTTGAGGGTTGTACTCTTTCCACTGACTGAGCCACCCAGAGCCCCTGAACTTCCTGCTTTGCCAGGTTGCCACATGTGAGAGCTTTCAGGTTATTTGTTGGATTAGATTATCTGATGATATGAATCATCATTCTGAGAGTAGATTGCAAAGTGAAAATAAAACTGTGGCCGGAAAATATTCAAATAAGTGTTTCTGCATAGCTCTCTTTTGGTTTTGGTTGGTGTGTGTGTATGAAAATTATTTCCCATCACTTTGAAAACAGATTTGACAGACAAAATAAAACTGGCTCAAAAATCTATTTTAACGTTTGAAGCAGACATGGAAACCAGAGCTATAAGCAAAAGCTGAGCTACTTTAACTTAACAATTTTTACCACATGATGTTTTACCACTTCCTCTTTATTAGGTGCTTTAAAGGATGTGTGTGTGTGTGTGTGCGTGCGTGCGTGTGTGTGTGTGTGTGTGTAGGTAGGCGTGAACTTGCGGGAATGTGTGTACTTACCTGTGGGTAGGTGTATGATAGTTGTTTTCTTACTAACGCATTAAATACCTACAAATACCTGACACTTCAGGTTTGCTCTGTTTCCGTGGCCATAAAAAGAATCCGGAACAAGTTCACCTGTAATATGATAGACACTGAAACCACCCAGAGCAGCTCATCCATACACTGACACTTCTTCAGAAAACGTACCAGAGAGAGGCTCCACATATCACGTTTACAGATAAGATCTACACATTTATTTATTGATTTATTTTTGTTTTCTTCCCTCCTTTTTATTTCTGAAGTTTTGACCGACGGTTTTTCACACAAATGGGAACCAAGTGGCTCATTATATGGAGCGTTGCGATCACTTTATTTCAGGTAAGACTTCCTCTTCTCATCTCATCCTAAGTAATATCCGTTGTTTATTAAACAAATTTTTGTTTAATAAAATGTAAATCTTTTTCAGCCATTTTTTTTCTCTCTTTTACTCGTTAGAACGGTTGGATTTTTTTCAAGTATGCTTTAATATTTTCTTTCTTTATGTCCTTCTTGCAATAGTAAATTATGTTGTAAAAAACATCTATTTGTTGTAATTTCATTTAAAATAACGTATTACAAATTCATCACACATGGTTTGCTGTGAACTAGCAGCTTCAAAGGAAGTTCATGGTAAGATGATTTTCAATAGAAGTTCAGTAAACTCACTGCGTTGTTGGATAATATATCCGTTGATAAAATCTTTTCAACTGTATGATAGAAGGGTTATACAACGCTTCTAAAATGAAAGGAACTTGTTTATTTCAAATGAACTCAGTTATCAGATAAGGGAGTCATTTCCTTTTGACTCATTTAAAGGTCTGACATTAGTACTTGTCCTTTTACGTTTTAATAAATGTTCTGAACAAAACATTTCTTCCTGCCAAAACAGCAGTTTCTATATTTTCTTCTTTTACTGTTTAAATATTTTCTAAAGACAATTTCAAAACTGTTTTTGATTTAACATTATTCCATTCACTGCCAAATATGTTCAGGTTTCAATGAATGAGGTTCCACAGCAACAAACAGCTTGACAGTGTTTCCTTCTTCTCGTTCAGGTCTCAGCAGTCGGTTCTGCAGAGGAGTCATCATGTGTACCTGGTTTTGAGTCCAAGTTGTTGATCTTGAATGTGACCAAAAAGCACCTGAGACACGGCACAATACTGGGCAAAGGTGAGAACGTCTCATCAAGTCACTCTTTCACGCTCACATTCTCAAAATGGTGTCAAAGTTGATTTCCTATGAACTTTTCTCTGGATTAGCCTGAATTATAAGCAGGCAATCATTAGGAAATCCGTCAATCTCACGTTCTCAGGTGTTACTTTGCACTGCTGAGGCTTTAATGCTTCCTCCGTCAGGGTGAAGCATGTCCCCAAACCTGATTTTCAGGTTTTTCCTTTAAAGATGTCAGCTGCGGTAGCCCCAAGCAACAAGCATCTGAGAATGTGTCATGAAATGGTGGTGAGGCTGACGCCATGAGACCCAGGATAGGTGGAAATGGTGGTTTAATGGTGACAAGTCCAAAAACACAAACCGCAGTAGGTCCACAGCCAGGCAGCACGGTTGAGCGGAAGCCAGGGCTCAGTACCGGTAGCACTAGTGGACAGAACAACACATGCCAAAAGGAGACGAGGATCTGAAGAGAAACAAAGGACACAGGGGATTAAATACACAGAGAGTAATCAAGGGGAAGACAGGACAACGAGGAGACGAGGACGCAGAAATCTCTAAATATAAACACAGAGAAACACGGAACATGACAGAATCTCCATTTAAACTGTACATGTGTACTAACAACCACTAGACAACTATTTCTTGAATTATCACTTAGCCAATTATTTTTTTGCTTACACTTTTTCTCCAAAATGAACAGACATGCACTCTACTGTACTTGGTGTGGTAGAGTTTGTTTATGATGGAAAGCATTTCGCAATCTCTTTATTGAAATGGTCATGCGTTGAAATGATAAAGCAGACAGACTGCTGTTGTCTTTCTGGTTGGTGTAGAAGAAGTGAGAGCTTCTTCCAGAGCTCCTTTAGCTGGAAATCCTTTCATCATTCCTGTTCCGGCACATTGTTGTCTCAGACTCTTCTGTACGTTTCCACGCGCATGATCCTTATTTCAGATGTTGAGTTTCTGTGGTGTGTACTGGTTGAACAAGTTTTAAAAAGAGAGCATGAAGTGAATCATTGGAAGTCAAAATTGGAAATCAAAAGAAGAAGGAGCTCATTTTAATTTAGTGAATTGCTGGAAGGTTTTCAGAAACCTGATTATGTGACAAATACCAGCATTAACTCAACATCGATGTGTATTTGAATCCCTTTATCAATTAATACTATGATCATTTATTTTTATTTTAATTCTGATATAATCATTTCCAGTTCCCAGTAGCAGTTTCTAATGTACATACTTAACATTTTGTTATTTTGTTGATTTCCAGTTGGCTTCACTGACTGCACAGGTCGCACCAGATTCCCTTTCAGCTCTGATGACAACCGTTTCCTGGTCCGGCCAGATGGGATTTTAATGGTGAGTAGAAACGGGCCGAACCCAGACAATATATAATCATCTAGAAGCCTTCAAATAACTGGATTATAATCTGTGTTAATTGAGCACTCCTGGTGTATTTCAATTAAAAAAATAACTTGTACAATATAAAACTTACAATATGTTTAATTGCCAGGATAATTTTGTGTCCAGGCAACGTTAATTATTATTAGTGTGTCATTCTTAGCTTTCTACTATTTGAATATATTCAGCATTTTGTTATAAAATATAACTTTTACTCATTAGTTGTGGAAACCATGTCATTAGTTTGACCATTCTCAAAAATATTCAAACTCTAAGCATAACTTTGATTTCATAACATAGTTTCTCAAATGACACAGGGATGTCCCTAAAGAGAAAATATGTTCCAGATATGTTTTTG